TACTGGCAAAGACTAATTAGAGAATCCATTGAAATTGAGAGAAACAGAAATAACTTTAATCGTTCTGATAGCTATAGGCTTAGTGCGGCTTGGAAGCGTATTATTAAATAATACATATTACAATTCCTTATAGGGGAAACACATATTAATTAACTGATTACTAATGTAGCATATAATCACAATAACACACATTAGAACTAATTACTAATCTACAACTCATTACTAATCATAACCATTGACTGATTACCAATCGATTATATAATTACTGCACATGAAATGAGTTAAATTATGACGTCACCCTGCTGCTCTAATTAAGACCGGGAGCAAGTGAGGGCTTTGCCATTCTGGCGAATTGCTCAATGATGCTGGATGTAATTACCAGCGAAACGTCGTATTCAAACTGTAAATGTTGTGGATTCACTCTTCAACACACCGGTGGGCTAAAGTAGTGAACTATTTGTCTTTTGTCAACGTGACACTTTTTTGCTGATTGGCCGTGTCGGGTGGTGGAGGGTTACGACACATTTATAAATAACGCGATCTATCCTAAAAACCTTTATTATGAATAATATTGGTCGCGAAAGCCTACGTGTTAAACTCACCTGACTCTCACCTGACCATTACCACTCACCTGACCACTACCACTCACCTGACTCTCACCTGACCATTAACACTCACCTGACTCTCACCTGACACTCACTACGCAACGTCACCAGCTCAAGTCGCCACCCTGGTGATCGCACAGGTGCGGGCAGACAAGTAACCAAGCAGTCGGCATAAACGCGTCCACACGCGCGTCTCTCCAGGTCACAATGCAATCCGTAAACCCGTGTGCGTTTAGGAATACGTGTGCGTTGTGCAAGCAGCACTGTGTATGAAGTACAGCTGCTGTATACACAGTACAGCTACTACATACACAGCACAGCTGCTGCACACACAGTACAGCTACTGAATACACAGTACAGCTGCTGCATACACAGTACAGCTGCTGCATACACAGTACAGCTGCTGCATACACAGCACAGCTACTACATACACAGCACAGCTGCTGCACACACAGTACAGCTACTACATACACAGCACAGCTGCTGCACACACAGTACAGATACTGAATACACAGTACAGCTGCTGCATACACAGTACAGCTGATGCATACACAGCACAGCTGCTGCATACACAGTGCAACTGCTGCATACACAGCACAGCTGCTGCACACACAGTACAGCTACTACATACACAGTACAACTACTGCATACACAGTACAGCTGCTGTATACACAGTACAGCTACTACATACACAGCACAGCTGCTGCACACACAGTACAGCTACTGAATACACAGTACAGCTACTAAATACACAGTACAGCTGCTGCATACACAGTACAGCTACTACATACACAGCACAGCTGCTGCATACACAGTACAACTGCTGCATACACAGTACAGCTGCTGCATACACAATACAGCTGTTGCATACACAGTACAGCTGCTGGATACACAGTGCAGCTACTGCATACACAGCACAGCTGCTGAATACACAGCACAGTTGCTGCATACACAGCACAGCTGCTGCATACACAGCACAGCTGCTGCATACACAGTACAGCTACTGCATACACAGTACAGCTACTGCATACACAGCACAGCTGCTGCACACACAGCACAGCTGCTGCACACACAGCACAGCTGTTGCATACACAGTACAGCTGCTGCACACACAGTACAGCTGCTGCACACACAGCACAGCTATTGCATACACAGCACAGCTGCTGCATACACAGCACAGCTGCTGCATACACAGTACAGCTGCTGCATACACAGTACAGCTACTACATACACAGTACAGCTGCTGCATACACAGTACAGCTGCTGCATACACAGTACAGCTGCTGCATACACAGTACAGCTGCTGCATGCACAGTGCAGCTACTGCATACACAGTACAGCTGCTGCATGACCAATACAGCTGCTGCACACACAGTACAGCTGTTGCATACACAGTACAGCTGCTGCATACACAGTACAGCTGCTGCACACACAGCACAGCTGCTGCACACACAGTACAGCTACTGAATACACAGTACAGCTGCTGCATACACAGTACAGCTACTACATACACAGCACAGCTGCTGCATATACAGTACAACTGCTGCATACACAGCACAGCTGCTGCACACACAGTACAGCTGCTGCATACACAATACAGCTGTTGCATACACAGTACAGCTGCTGCATACCCAGTACAGCTACTGCATACACAGCACAGCTGCTGCATGCACAGTACAGCTACTGCATACACAGCACAGCTGCTGCATACACAGCGCAGCTGCTGCATACACAGCACAGCTGCTGCACACACAGCACAGCTGCTGCACACACAGCACAGCTGCTGCACACACAGCACAGCTACTGCACACACAGCACAGCTGCTGCATGCACAGCACAGCTGCTGCATACACAGCACAGCTACTACATACACAGCACAGCTGCTGCATACACAGCACAGCTACTGCATACACAGCACAGCTGCTGCACAAACAGCACAGCTGCTGCATACACAGCACAGCTGCTGCATACACAGTACAGCTGCTGCACACACAGTATAGCTGCTGCACACACAGCACAGCTATTGCATACACAGCACAGCTGCTGCATACACAGTACAGCTGCTGCATACCCAGTACAGCTACTACATACACAGCACAGCTGCTGCATACACAGTACAGCTGCTGCATACACAGTACAGCTGCTGCATACCCAGTGCAGCTACTACATACACAGCACAGCTGCTGCATACCCAGTACAGCTACTACATACACAGTACAGCTCCTGGATACACAGTACAGCTGCTGCATACACAGCACAGCTGCTGCATACCCAGTACAGCTACTGCATACACAGCACAGCTGCTGCATGCGCAGTACAGCTACTGCATACACAGCACAGCTGCTGCATACACAGCACAGCTGCTGCACACACAGCACAGCTGCTGCACACACAGCACAGCTACTGCACGCACAGCACAGCTGCTGCATGCACAGTACAGCTGCTGCATACACAGCACAGCTGCTGCACACACAGCACAGCTGCTGCACACACAGCACAGCTGCTGCATGCACAGTACAGCTACTGCATACACAGCACAGCTGCTGCATACACAGCACAGCTGCTGCATACACAGCACAGCTGCTGCACACACAGCACAGCTGCTGCACACACAGCACAGCTGCTGCATGCACAGTACAGCTGCTGCATACACAGCACAGCTACTACATACACAGCACAGCTGCTGCATTCACAGCACAGCTACTGCACACACAGCACAGCTGCTGCATTCACAGCACCTGTACTTTAAATTTATTCTGTTTTGTGTCGGCGCACGGTGTCACATCGACGAAGAGCGCACAGCGCGCGAGCGGGGAATCTCGCTGTAACACGCAGAGTGAAGTCCGCGTGTTCAGCGTGGAGCTGCGAGTAGAGCAAGCGGAGCTCTCAGCGTTACCCCCCCCCTCGCACGTGGGGGGGTAGTGGGGGGGCAGTGGGGGGGGCAGTGGGGGGGGGCAGTGGGGGGGGGGGCGCCTCCTACCGCTTCCCTCCCACGCGAGGCCAAAAGCCCAGTGCGGGCAGCACCCCCAAAACGAGAAGTTGAGAGTCTCTCTTGATTTGAAGCTTTCGTGACTGCAGGAATCCATACTCTTTGGTTCTTTCGGTAAAGTCACGTAGGTTATGAAAAATAATAATAATAGATCACGACGTTTCGATCGCAAAAACAAGCGGCCGTCTTCAGGGTGACGGTCGCTCAGGATGAAGACGGTCGCTTGCTGTTGCCATCGGAACGTCGTGATTTATAATAAAAAATTCCAGCCTACGTGACTTTACCGAAAGAACCAAAGAGTAAGTTGAGAGTCGGCGAAACCACCCATGCGTGGGTAATTATTAGCACGGTTGGCTGTGTACGGCGCGAAAGAAGTTCAACATAATACTGTATAGTCAAGTGTGCTGAATACGATGTGGCTAGCGTGTACGCATTATATATAGTCGTGTCAACTTGATGGAGGACAGACTCCATCGTTCCCCATCCTGGAGGCAGGACTCGTCCGTCTCATTAGCAAACGACGACCTTGGGTAGAACAAAAAAAAGAAATTTCGCCCAGTCGCCAAGATTCGAGAGAAGATTTACTAAGCCCATCATTTTGAGGATACAGCGAATTTTTGCTGTGTCTGTTCCACCTGAAGACGGAAGCTTGTGCTGCCTCCGAAACGTCGTGATTTGATTTAATTTCTTTTATGTTATTTTACCTACGTGACTTTAACGAAAAAAACAAAGAGTATGAATCCTTGCAGTCACGAAAGCTTCAAATCTAGAATTAAGCCCATCGACTTCACCGCTCGGCCACGACTTCCGAGAGCGAACCGTGAACACGCCGCTCTGTCCCGGGCACTGAACTTGCCCCGCACCCCTTCCCGCCCCAGATCGCCCTGCCCACGACGCGCGCCTCGACCCGAACACTCCTCATACCCGAGCGCTCACGCCGACACCCGGCACCCCTCGGCCTACCCCGGCGCCCCCCACCCCCTGCCACTGCCTCCCCCCCACCCCGCGCTTTGAAGTGGCCGCAGCAACAAAGAGCGCCGTGACGACACAGCCCGGGTTCGGCTGCGTGACGCGGCGAGGGGAGGGGACTTCCCTCGCCCTCCTCTCTCTCTCTCCCCATTCCCTCTCCTCTCATCTGCTTCTCTCACCCTCGCGTCCTTTCCTCCCATTCTCCTCTCATTCTTCTCCCCCTCCTCCAATCCCGTCTCCTCTTCCTCTCCCATCCCACTCTTTGCTCGCTCTTCCCTCCTCCCCATCCACTCCGTTCGCCCCCCTCGCCACACCCCCCGCCGCACGATCCCAACTCCTCCCCTCTCGTTCCCTCTCGCTCACTCCCCCTCCCCTCTCTCCGCTCACTCCACTCCCCCCTCTCGTGCCCGGGCTCCGCCCCCTCGCCCCACCCGCGCCGTCCCTTTAAACCCCGCGTGTCCCGCGCCCGCGCCCCATTCATTCCGTCTTCTCGGGAGCCTCCTCCAACAAAACCTCCTCCTCATCCTCCTCCTCATCCTCCTCCTCCAAGCAGCAGCAGCGCCGCGGCCGCGATTCTAGGGGAGGGAGGGGAGGACAGAAACCCCGCGGGCGAGAGAGGCCATGGCTCAGGACGCGGCCACGTCGGAGCCGCCTGCCAAGAGGATCTGTGTTCGATCCCCGGGTCACCAGCACCACCACCACCACTACCAGCAGCAGCAGCAGAAGCAGCCGGAGTCGCTGCTGGACTTGAGCGCCAAGGCGGTTGCGCAGTGGTGGCCCTACGAGCAGGTGGAGGCTCGCTACAGCCGCGTGCCCGAGCCGGTGCAGAGGAGAATCGTCTTCTGGTCGTTCCCGAGGAACGAGCGCGAGATTCGCCTCTACTCCTCCATGCTGTGCGGTAGCGAGGAGTCGGCAGGGGGCCCGGCGGGTGGCGGAGCAGCCGGGGGGGGCACGGCTGGAGCCGAGGACGCGGACGCAAGGCTCCCGTTCAGACGGGGTCTCCAGCTGCTGGAGCGCGGCTGCGTGGAGAGCGTACTGCAAGTGGGTGAGTGCCGGGGAGGGGGGGTGGGGGAGCGGGATGGGATCGGTTGTTTGCTCGTTGTGGAGAGTGCTAGGGGGGTCTCTGTGTGTGTGTGCAAGGGGGTCTCTATCTGTGTGTGCGCGCGCGAGGTGTCCCATAGTAGGGAGAACAGGTGGCGAGGCATCTGCCTCTTAACCCTGAATAGCTGCGTCTGTCGCCTGGACGGCCTGCCCCAGCGAGCCTGCCACGCTTAGTGCGAAGGCTGCGAAGTGTACCTAGCCTGGCACGAGCGGTGTGTGGTGACGTCACGCTCACTTTGTGGCGAATTGCGGCTGGTGTTGTGTGTAAGAATACCTGTGAGTGTGTGTCTCAGTCCGTGTGTGTAAGAGTGTTTGGGTGTGTGAGAATACCTGTGTCTGTGAGTGTGTGTCTCGGTCCGTGTGTGTAAGAGTGTTTGGGTGTGGGTGTGTAAGAATACCTGTGTGTGTGTCTGTGAGTGCGTCTCGGTCCGTGTGTGTAAGAGTGTTTGGGTGTGGGTGTGTCTGAATACCTGTGTGTATTGGTCTGTTTATGTCTGTGCGTGTTGGGTGGGCATGTTAGTTTGTGTGTGGCTCTTAGCAATGTTTCTGAGTGTGTGTATGTATGAGTTTGTGTGAGCGTGTCTGCCTTGTGTGCGGGTGGGTTGGTGCATACGTGTGGTGTGTCTTTGTGTGTGTCTTTGTGTGTGTGTCTTGCTTCACCGGGGTTGTATCGGTGCGACCAGGGCCTACAACTACACAGCAGTGTATTGTGTGTGTTTTACGGGTGTACCGTGTGTGTGTATTTAGTGAGCTGGGTGTGTTTCGAGATAGCTCTGTTTCTGGTGAGCTGGGTTGTGTATTCAGTGTGCCGTGCGTATATCGCTGACTGTCTACTTGTTCAGCTTGGCTGTCCATTTGGTGAGCTGGTTCTGTATTTAATGAGCTGGTGGAGCAGTATACAGTACTTGGTGTGAAGTGTGGAGTGCACTCGGTGTGCAGTGTATTTGGTGAGCCGAGTGGCAGTGTATTTAATGTACTGGCTTTAACCCCTGTGAAGACCCCCCCCCCACTTCCCCTCCTGCCACCAGCCCCCCAACTGGAGCGCGCGATGTCTCTAACAGTACTGCGTCGATTTCTCTCCGCATGCCGTGGCGGTCGATGTGGGGGTGCAGTATTCCTCGTCCCGTGCAGGGCCGCTCCCTCTATCTTCGCCGCATTTGCATGCGCGCTTCCCCCTCCCCCTGTATTTGTGTTGCGTGGCGCGCGCGTGTGTATTCGACTCTCGCTCACGGCCAACATCAGTGGCAAATGTCTGAAACCATTCCCAGCGCCTCTCCGAGGTCGACTCGGGCTCTACAAGGTGGCGAGCATGCGGCGGGGGGCGGAGGAGGAGGGGAGGGAGACAAGTTTCAGTTGATTTATTTTGGTATAGCCCTGTGAGCCATTCGGCTCTTGAATCGGGTGCAACCACAATAGTCAAGTGACTATGTGACTGTGCCAACAGAAAATCCATTAAAAAACAGCAAAATATTCCTGAAAAAAGCACCGTACACCAACGCTGTGTGCAAAAAAAAATCCCAGTGGGATGCAAGTCAAACAACAACAAGAAAACTTAGATTAAGGCCATCAGTCTAACTCCGTACTACAACAAAACAAACATGTCCAAACCAAAAAACTTTTCGAAATCACCAAAAAATAAAGCCATAATTGCAACGTAACAGTGATCACAGGGACTGTGACAGAAGTTTTACAATAAACTACATAATTAACAAAGGTGGGGGGCCCCCCTCAGCCGTTGTTTTGGGTCGTGACGGCCTTCTTAGGTGCTGGCTATCAGCACCTTGCGCCCCCCACGGACGGTCTGCGATGCAGGTCTACACGGGCGATCTTTGTCTTCTTGGTGTGGTTCTTGGTTGGGGGGGTTGAGTTTTAGTCGTCGCAGCAGTAGTTGTGTATTGGCAACTGAAGGCACACACTGTGAAGCCGCGCACAGATGTCATATTCATCGGCGTGCTTTGCTTTCCTCCCAGACGCGGGCGGGCGGGCGGGGGGGGCTTCCGTTTCTCGCGAGCCGCGCTCACAGACGGGATGCGGCACCCATTGCGGTTGAATTCGTTGTCTGCACCCCCCCACTCCCATCGCCGTCATCAGCATTGTCTGGCCGACCCTCCCTCCCCACCACCCCACCGGCCACCACCCATCCCATCTCCTCCCCACCCCGCGCAGCTCCCCTGACACCCCCCCCCCCTCGCCGCGTTCTTGTTAATGACCCAACCACCAGCATCGTGTCCCGCGCACCTTTGTCGCAATAGAGACGCCGCCCCCGCCGCCCAGTGATGCCTGGCGACGGCTGCTGGTTGTTTGGTGGTCACTATTTCCTGGCGGTATATCTCTCTGGTTTCTGGGTCTCTCTACCTATTTATCTCGCTTGCTGAACCCAGAGGCCCCCCCCCCCCAAAAAAAAAAAAGGCCGAGAAGGCCCAAGCGTTTCTTGAATTGAGGAATGTCGCTACGGACTATGGGAAAGACGCTGGGCGCGGGGTGTTTATTAATGCTGTGTTTGGTAGTGGTGGTGTGCGGTGGGGTGGTGGTGTTGAGTCGTGTTTGGTGGTGTTCAGTCGTGTTTGGTGGTGTTAGTGGCGTAGCGTGCACCCTGCTTACCAAGACAGGGGCGGGGGGTGGCGGACATTGGCCAGGGGGCCCATCTTTCATTCCTCCCACCCGGCCCCCATGCCAACCGCGTTGCGTCACTGGTATTCGATTGTGTGTGGGGGGATGTTTGGGGATATTTTGCGCGGGGTTGATGAGTGGGGGAGCCCTTACGGTAATGCTTCGCTATATTCACATCGTGCCGCGCGTGGCGCCCACCGCATCTTGCGATAGTGTCTGGTGATGTTCGGTGCGATGTATTTGTGAGTTTTTTTTTAAGTGTCGTGTTGCGATCTCTGCTCATCCCTCGTGATGCCCAATGCTGACCCCCGCTGTTCGGGGGGGGGGGGGAGGCTTCCCGGTTGTCGGAATCTTGCACGTGGCTGTTAGCCATTTGGGGCCATTGGGGGTGGTTGCCCCTGGCCAAGTACACGGTGGTTCCCAATTGTTCTTGCCACTGTCTGGGTTCTTTCCGGTGGTTCCTGATGGGCCGCGGCCGTGCCTGGTTCCTGCCGCACGGAGAGAGTTCCTGCGCGCAGCCCTGGCTGGCTTCTGCCACACGTTGCTAACTCCGAGTTATGTGGCCGGTGGGGTTTATCACCGCAAACCGGTCCCTCTGGTCCGTGTAACCTCCAGCGACAGCTGCTCGCATTCTTTCACCATCCGTGTTATTATTATTATTACTTTACAACGACTGCTACTATTGGATGCGATGTACCGATTCGCGATAAGCCCTTCTCAGAAATGCACGCACGGCTTCCCGACTCCCCTGAGGTTCAAGGGGAGATCGTCGGCCTAGTGGTGTGGGATGCAGTGTGGGATTGAGGTTCGAACCGGTGTGCTATGGGGTGTGGGGTCAGAGGTTGAGAAATCGGCGTGCAGTTAAGTTTAACTTCTTTTTAGGCACCGTACGTTCGCCAACCGTGTCACATCGGAGATGCTCGGGATCAGTGCGGCACTCTCGGTGAGATACATCCCACCACCGGTGCCACGTCGCCGACTGTCTCGCCGCACCCGACTGCGCGTGTCGCTCAGGGGGCCAAATTGGAGGCACGACGCGCACGGTTGGCCGCGCGCGTCTCACCTGCAGGGCGCTCACCTGCAGGGCGCTCACCTGCAGGGCGCTCACCTGCAGGGCGCTCACCTGCAGGGCGCTCACCTGCAGGGCGGCTCACCTGCAGGGCGCTCACCTGCAGGGCGGCTCACCTGGGTGTCGGGGAAGGGGGATAGAGGTTCGGTGATACGAGGATTCTGGTGGTTTTTAGGGATACGTACGTATGTTGAACGTCTTTCGCAACGTACGTATCCAACCGTGCTAATAACGAGGGCTAATGCGGATCGAATTCGAGTTGGAATCGGGGCCACTGAAATGTGTTTTTTTTTTGGAGTTTCGGGGCTAAATGCCAGACTACGCCCCCCTCGGATCCTGAGGCCCCCAGCCAAACGTCCCACCTGCCCGCCTCTGCGTGCCCTGGCTAGACGCGTGTTGAGAGAGAGAGGACGGTGGCGAGGGCTGCTAAGGGTGGTAGTGGTTTGCCATAGGGTTACTGTATGCGATGGTTAGGGCTGTCGTCGGGAGGGTGAGGGTTATAATTAAGGAGTTGGCGCACACTGCGCGCGTGTGTGTATGTGCGTGTGTCTTAGGGAGCGATAGTGTAGCGGTTAGCGCGCTGCGCTATGAAACCGGTGACACGGGTTCGATTCCCGCTCACGGCCAACACCAGTGACGATTATCTGAACCGGTCCCGGGCCTCCCCTAGGTCGACTCAGCCTCAAATCAGTACCTGGTGCGGCGTGTAAAGATCGCCACTAGGGAGACAAAGACGGTCGGGCGTGGTGCTGGCCACCCACCCCCTCGTGTGCCGTTCCGGCCTTCACAGGTGCTTGCTAACAGCACTTGCCCCTACAGTCTGTTAAGGCTATATGGGGGATCTTTGTTGTCTTTACGTGTGTGCCTGTGTGTGTGTGCCTGTGTGTGTGTGCCTGTGTGTGTGTGCCTGTGTGTGTGCCTGTGTGTGTGTGCCTGTATCTTTATCGATGCTGTGTGGCGCGGCGCCACGAACCCAGTGACCCGAGTTCGATTCCCGCTCACGGCCAACACCGGTTGGCGATCATCGGAACCGATCTTGCGCCTCCTCTAGGTCGACTCAGCCTCAAATGAGTACCTGGTGTGCTGCGTAAACATCGCTACTAGGGAGACAAAGGCGGTCGGGCGTGGTGCTGGCCACTCACCCCCTTTTGTGCCGTGCCGGCCTTCATAGGTGCTGCTCGCTAACATCACTTGCCCCTACAGTCTGTTAAGGCTATACGGGGGGGTTCTTTGTTTTGAGTGTGCATCTAATATGAACTGTACAT